GTATCCAAGTGCTCGAACCAGATTTATATACTTAAATATATTAATATATTTTTTAAAATGTTCCAAAATACTTAGAAATATATAAAACAGTTAAATGCATATTTAAAAAATAGCTAAACGATACTCCAAATACCAAAAATATTTAAAATATTTATTTATTTTTTTTCCAAATATTTATGATAAAGCAATTTTATGTTAAGTTTAAGTATTTTGGCATTCATTTTTCAAATTTCTATGTTATATATTATTTTTTACTTTTAGATTTTGAAAATTTTAAAGTATATATGAATTTCAATCTTTTTTATAAAAAAATAAATGGATTATCCGAAACTAAACCCAATCTGGACCTGCAAAAATTCGAACCAAACCGCAAAGATCTAAACCAAACAAAATCTAACCGAACCAAATGGTATCCAAATGCCTATCTCTAATCAAATGTAAAAAAATTATGATAGCAAAATATATATTTAAATACAACATATTTTTAAAAAACTCACTCCGCGCATGGCGCGGGTTATCATCTAGTTTATATATATTGAAAAAAAGAGAGACAGAGGAAATAAATAAATTGCAGAGTAATCGAGGCGGTTTTCATTTCATTTCTCATCGCAATCATCTTCGTCTGTCGTACGGTTCATCCATAAGGTTGATCTCTATCTTTCTTCAGATTTCATCTGTTTGTTTCATCTTCTTCTTCTTATACTTCGTCTGTAAACGATCTCTCGTCGGTAAATTTGGTCCGATCAGTTTGTTTGGTTTAGTCCGTGCTGTTGAGTTTTCATTTAAATACGTTGTTTGATTGATTGACAAAGGATGGTATGGTTTTTGGAATTCAGAATCAAACCGGATGATGAACTTCATCTGTCTCTTTTATATAACAAGTCTGTCAGAAATTGCATCATCTTAGTTTCTTTATTGGATAACCTAACATAGTCATCTTTTGTGTGTCTGTGACTTAACTGACAAACCAGTTTCATTGTTTTTTTTTTATTGTAGAATGGCTGACAAAGAAGAACCATCATCAGGAGGAGGAGGTGACAACACTACACGTGGAACTGATTGGGAAGTTGTTTCACTCACCGCTTCTGCTTATGCTGCTTCTCCTGGTCCCAAACCAGTACATGATAAGGATGTTACTCCTCCTTCGGAAGCAGAGACCTCTCATCCTTTGTACATGTCTCGCCACTTTGTTTTCCCATCCAGTGAAGAACTTCACACCAACGTGGAACCTAGTGACCTTCCCGGCGAGATCTACGAAGATAAGGCAAGCAAGAAGATAGATTCTGAATTCTCTCTGGACCAAGAAGCTCCCGGAAAAGAAGATGGTGGAGATTTGTCTCTGAAAGGCTTGGAATTGGGCAAAGATGATGAGTTTGCAGGACTTGACTTTTTCGAAGAGGAGAAAGGCAAAAGCAACATTTACAAGAAGAAGACTTCTCTGGAAGATGATGAAAGAGCTTTTGGTGGATCACATGTCTACGAACAGACAGAACCTGTTCATCAACAGACCGTCCACCCCGACGACATCACTCCAGATGTTTCACCTGAACTGGAAGATGATGATGACAAGCATCATCAAGTAGCAGCAGCAAACTCCCCACCACCTTGCGAGCCTTGGTGGAAAAGAAGCGCCGCTTCTTTGATTTCACATGCGAAAGAAACTAACACTGTTTGGTCCATTTTCATAGCTGCAGCTGTGATGGGAGTTGTCGTTCTTGGCCAGCGTTGGCAACATGACAGGTGGCAGATTTTGCAGCTTAACTGGGAATCAACCATTGGTAACGAGGTATATAGCTAATAGCTTTATATCAAAATTTTGCTTTTCACTGTTTTGTATCTAATGGTGTCTTAAATCCATTAGTTATTATTAAACACACAATATTGTTTTTTGGGTGGTTTCAGAAAGCTGGAAGACTGATGGGACCGATCTCACGACTGAAACAAGCATTTGTCGGGGGACAGCGACGGGACTCATTCATACGGGCCAGTTCCCAAAATGACAGTTAAAAACGAAGACAGGAGATACATCGTGATTTGGTTTGATGATGACGATACAAACAGTAAGAGTATGTGTGTGTAGTTTGTGACTCTTTGTGTCCGAATGTAAGTCAAAAACAAATAAAGATGATGATGGATGGATGGATGGATGGTAAGTAAAAGTCTTTGGGGTTTTATATTAATGTTTCGGTCAAGGTTTGTGATGTGTGTACATATATGGCTTTCGGTTTGTTGTCAAGTGTACGCTTTGCTTCTTATTTTATTTTATTTAAGGACTTATTGGTTTCAAAATCTTCACTTATTTTTGTTGTCTAATTACGAGTGCATTACCTTATAAGACACTTTTTTCTTTTTTTTATCACTTTAAGGCACATTACACTTGTGGAGCACTTTTTGTGGTTTCCAAGATATTTGTTGACTCTTTTGCCCTCTGATGAAAGGATAAATCGTGTCCAGCTTTGTATGTTAAAAAAAATCTTAAGGACTTATAAGTAGCTAGTTTTGCATTTGACCGAATTTTGTCAGATATTGACTTTTCCTGGAGAAAGTCGTCTCCAGGATATATTAACTATAATATATTTACATATCTAAAAATATATTTACATATAAAAACAATAACCAACGGAAATAAAAATAAGAAAATTAATCAAAATTTTATTATATTTAGAATAAAAACTGTTATAGTTGAATGCGAAAAATAGATTCGATTAGATTGGGATTAAGACTCCTCGTCACCGGGCTAGCTCTTCTCCTCCGCTTGTCCTCTTTTTCCCTACCGACAATAATATATCCAAAGTCATATGTATAATTAGAATAATGTAATATTTATTAATATAAATTATACATATAAATTGATTCAAAACTAAATTATCTCTCTGTTTTTGTTTTGTTTAAAGACTTTTACCAGATCTATAAGAAAGAGAGAGGGGTTCCACCGACAAAGATAGATGATGATTTAATTGGAGGGGTATACATGACATTCAACACCAATAAAGTGTGTGGCAAGTGGATTGTGCTCTTTTTTGTAATTGGAAACACAAAAAGTGTCTCAGAATGTAAAAAAATCTCTAATTACTATATTCATTTTCTTGTCAAATCTGAAATGAAAAAAAAATATGGTTCTATTTCAATTATGGCTTGGCTTTTTAAGTTGTATCTTATCAGTTTCAGTTAGATATTCAAACTCTTTCATGGCTTGGCCATGAAGGCATCTCTATTAATGTGGCTGTGACGGTTGTGGTGTAGACGCTGCGTCAAAGCTTCTCCGGTTTATAACATATATATACACTACTAAGTACATACATTTTCGTTTGGACCGTATTTTGTCACCATGGGGGTAAAAAAGTAAAAATATTGGTCAATTTTGTAAGAGCTAAATACTCTAAAAATGGAATAATACATTCATACACAGTTTGGTTGTTTTCCTTTTTTTCTTATGTGAGCTTTACATTTTGAGCTTTAAAAAAGTCCCAAAAATAAGAATACATTTTCTTAATAAGCAAAGGGAGCCCACTTCGCTATCAGATCAAATTTAAAGAAGAGAAAAGATATAGAGAGCTTTCCTCACACCATTTCACTCCAGTAATTTTGGCTACTTTGTTCATCAAAACGATCATCGGCTGCTGGCTAGTCGAGAACCTTCTCTCCGGTTGCGAACAAGTTCCAAACCAGAGTTCCAACTAAATACAGTCCAACTGCTACTTTGAACACATCGTCCCATGAACCTATACAATTGACGTCAGATATCAAGTTACTGATTATCTAATCAAGGGTGAATATCTCTATTCGATCATAAGAGCTAAATAAATAGGAACATAATGAAGCAGATATCTCCACCACTTAGGATAATATATACATTAATCCCACTACATCCGGATCATTTATAACAACTAGTTAATTTAATTATAAAGAGTCGTTGAGAATCTATGTCATTGGGAAGAGATTAAATCATATATTATATACATACATACCTCGTTGGAGGATATAACCAGTAGCTGCAGTGCCAAAAACACCAGCCAGGACTCCTGCTGTATTTGAAAGTCCCAATAGTACACCCTGCCAGGATCCACGTTCACATAGTTATTGACAACATATCATTTTCAAAGTTTAAAGATGCTTCTTGACCAAAAAAAGTATTGAAAGGAGAAACTTGGTGTTATCTCACAGCGTAGCGTGGACCAATGTCTTGATGATTAGAGTAGAGACCCGACTGAGAGAATGCATCAGAGCCCTGTTGGGGACAACATGAGTATTTATGTCAGTGCTGTACCTCAATTTTGAATGGTTCTAAGTGAGACAACTGTCAGACATTTGCATTTTAAGTTTTGTCCAATTATACGTGTACTCGTAGAAGAATAATCTTGTGTTGGCAAGTGTGCAAGTCCAAAAATAGCATCATGTTTTTCAACAGTTCCAAGCTGTAATATGCATATGATGATGCCTTACCTGACTGCAGGCCATGCAGAGAACCGCCATTGCTGGAGTTTTGACACGGCTCAGCTGAGACAGGAAGAATGCAGGACCCAGAAAACCAATTGATTGCATGATCTGCCACCATTGAAAAGTTTATCAGTGGAAAGAACTTTAAAAATATCCTCTGGAGTAGCCTTGACACACATAATTGACCCACGAGACTATATTATTTTTCTAAAGCATCATAATAGGTTTAGCCTTAAATAAGGTATCAGATAAAATGAGAAAAGACATGTAATGATTAGAAATGTATATCTTGCCTTCCGAACGGATGTAATTGAAAGACCTCTGCTCACGAGAGTATCAGCAATCCAACCTCCAATATTAGCGAATACAGCCATGGTGAACCATGGTAAGACGCATAGGAGCCCTGATTCAGTGAGGTTGAACTTCAAGACCTGCAAAATGTGATCAAAAGACAAACAATATAAACTAATATTTTTATTTATTTTGTTTAGAAGAGCAATTCAGTGACTCCATGCCTGATTGTAATATGTGGGCATCCATGTCAATAGTATGAATGTTCCCCAATTATGGCAGAAATGCGAAATTATGAGAGCCCAGACAGGGGGTTTAGAAAGAATCAGCTTCCATGGAATGACTGTAACAGGTTCCCTTGGTTTGCTACCTCCAAGTATGATCTTTTTTTCTTCTTCACTTAGCTCAGGATCATCTTTGGGAGAGCTATATGCCTGAGAGGGAAAAAAACAAGTGTTGAGTTTGTGGATATCGTAATCTTTGCTCTATGTCATGGAGAAGAAGAGTTCATACATATTTTAGCCATAGCAGAAACCATATACTTCCAAGAGAGCCAAACGAATAGAAAACTGATGGCCATCCGAACTTGTGGATTAGCATAGGAGAGAAACCGAGTCCTGTAACAGAACCGAGATACATGCCACTATAGACTAGTGCAAGAGATCTGCTTCTCTCTGAGACAGGGATCCATTTAGAAAGCATGTTGTTCATAGCAGGCATAGCAACACCCTAGGATCAAAAAGTAGACAGAACCTACCAGTGAGAAAAATCGTATAGGTCTGACTGAGCCAACTATAGAAAGAGAAAAGGAAGTACATAAAAGGCGAACCTCGCCAATGCCCATGAAGGCCCGCACGACAAGCAAAAAGGGGAGACCAAGTTTTGCAGCAATAGGTGTCATAACAGTGGCAATGGACCACCAGACAACACCAAAACCTAAAACCACCTTCCCGCCAAACTTATCTGCCCAGATACCTCCCAGAATCTATACTCAACAGAAGATGGGTAAAAATTTAAATAAATTTACCCACTCTTTTGAGCTGTACAAAACAGGACATCCTGCAGAAAATGTTTGAGAAAGACCTGAGTAAGTAAATAGCCCCAGAAGAAAGAGGACTGAATCAAGCCAACAGTTGCACTGTTCCAGTTATATTCTTGAGACATGGGAAGAATGGCAATGCTCATGTTCACCTGTCCCAAAGCATCTCATTTAGTAAAACAGAATATATAGTTCAAAAACTTGTGCAAAATAATAGACTTACACGGTCCATATTGCAAAGAAGAAAGGAAGCAAAGCATAAGAGGACGATGACCCAGCGTCGAGGGAACTGTTGCCACCATGGGGAAGCGTTCTGTAGATTTCCTTGGACTAAGATAGCTTCAGCAGAGCCATCGGGAGACGGCAGTGAGTCAACAACTCCTTCAGTGATATCGGACTCCTCAGATTTATAGGAAGCACGAGATTTGTCCCTAAACCTAAGTCTAGTGCCCATTCCTGGTAGAAGGAAAGATCCAAAAGCTCTTCTCCTGTGTCCAAATTGATGATTTAAAGTAGCTTGGAGAGATGAAATCTGCCTTGGTCGAGGAGAAGGGCAAAATGCTACAAATAAGAAAGAAAGAAAACAGTTGATAATGGATAATAAATTTGGTTAAGGGTAAAAGCAGAAAGATTGATGGGACAAATTAAAATACCAATTGAGTTTCTATAAGGGAGCAAGGAGACTCTGTTGCCTGGTCTCCGGGGCAAAATACATGTTTCATTCTGACTACTATTGATGCCTACAGAGTAAAAAAGTATGGAAACATAAGAAAAAATTGAAGCAATGGTGAATGTCGCAGAAGAGTTGACTATTATCACTATCTGGTGTGTCCTTTTTTTTTTCTAAAAAAAGGTGAAATCTTTTTCACTAGTTAAAAACAAAAAGCAAGGGAAAAGTTGACGGGGATCAATTTTGCCAGAAGACTTTATCCACTAACATAATCGGACAGAACCCTAATAGATTAAGTCAACCCAAAACAACAAGGATGCTTACGAAGAGCTGTCTGTACCCAGCGTGCGTGTGTGTGGATGAATAATTGACAAATGAAGAATCAGGCAATTACAGTCAAAGATGAGAGGAGAGAGAGATACCTGAGGCGATGAAGGAGCCCAAGTTCCTGTTTGAAATCAAGCCACCGATTGCCATGCTTATGCTGCTTGAAGGAAGAAGTAAAAGTAAGAGAGAGAGAGTAATATTCAAGCTGATGCTTCTTCTTCCATACAAAAAGGAAAGCGGAGTCAACGAAGAAGAAGAAGAAGAAAGAGACTGATAAAATAAAACCCAGACAGAGAGGCTTCTGCAGCCTTTATTCGACTGACGCAGCGGGAGAATCGCTAGTGGCAGCCAGCCCAGCCATATGGTGGAGAAGTAGAAGAGGAAAAAGGGGGATGGGTCGATAATGTGACACGTCGCTCTTCTTCTTCTTCTCGTTGGAATCTCCCTTCCAATTACGCTTCTATCCCCATGGTTTACACGAGATTTTGAAACGTAGACACAGGGGTACTATTGGAAGTTCCAGCGAAAGTATCTGAGCCGTTGACCGCCAAGATGATAGACCTCACACATCTTTAAATATAAAACTAGATTTTGATCCGCACTTGAAAGCGCGAAAATTTTTTATGATTAAAAATTTATATAATTGAGTTTTGTCTTAATTTAAAGAATATTTTGATGTAAAATCAGTTCACCAAAATTTGTGGTGATGATTGTTTTTTATTAGTTTTTCGTTTCAGTTTTTATTTTTAGATTTTGGTTTTTGGTTTTTAGTTTTTAAGTTTCTACTTTTCATTTTGAGTTTTTGGTTTGGGTTTTTAATTTTTAAACCGCTGAGTTAGTTTGAACTAATATTACCAATAAACAAATCTCAAATAATCGAACATCTAATTTAAAACTGAAAAGATGATAACAATTTTTTTTAAAAAAAATCGAAATATTTTATTTTGTAAATAAACAAAGCAAAAAAATATAACATGTGTTTTCAGCTTTTGGTTTTGGATTTTAGTTTTTAGATTTGGTTTTGGATTTTAGTTTTTAGATTTGGTTTTTGGTTTTGCTTTACATTTTTTAATCAGTAAATTATTTAAGAAAAATGAAAGAATAAATTATTTAAAAGTTACCTTTGAAATTTATCAAAACAAAGTGATTTTTATTTAAAATAAAAATATATATTAACATGTTTTAAAGTACATGATTTAAATAAATGATTAATAATAGATAATTTTGTTTTGTTAAAAATATTAAATATCTTTTGGGTCTGAAAATAATAATTGATTTTTTATCTTTTAAGGTGAAAAGTTTATTCAATGTTTTTGGAGTTTTTTCTTAATACTAAGCCAAAAAATCAAACTATATAATTTGTTTAAAAAATAAAAGTAAGCCCAAGACTATATTCCATAAATAACCACTAGTTTAATTTAAGTATAATTAGTATATTTCCATATTTCATATTTTGATGGTATATATTCTTTTAGAATATTCCATATTTGTATGAGAAAATATGTGTTTTTGATATATTTATAGATACCTACTGTATTTTGAAGGTAATTTACATTAAGGTCGTCTCTTTACATTAATTGTGTTGGTTTAATTTAAATAATATGGTTCAATCAATTATATGATTTATATTATTTGTAACATTCTAAAAATGGTCCAAATTTAAATGACAACTTGTATCAGTAGATAAAAAGAATAATTTTATTTTAATAGAGTAGAATAGAGTAGATATAAAATAAATAAATAAAGCAAGTAGTAGGTTGTCAAACAACTTATTCTCGAAATTCGACTTTCCCACTGTAAATATAAAGGACCTAATAGCAGGAATAAGCCCACTACTTAATTGACTACTGTTCCCATAAATTATCTTCTTCTTAACTGTAAAACCTCTACTTAATAACTTTGGTGATTTTGATTGAGGATTCACTAACACTCAGATCTATGTTTCAAATTCCACAAACGGTGAAGCTTGCAGAAGGAAAACACACATTATTTTTGAGATGCAAACAAAGAACAGTAGAGAAAACTAGTGAATATTAGAATAGGAAACAATATATTCTTCGCAGATATTTAGCAGTCTAGTAATGTACCTCTAACGGCTCCTTTGTACATACTTTCCTATATATCGATTGGATTATACCTAATTAAACAGTGAATACATTGCAAAAAGATGGGATTCACAACTAAATAAACATATAACAAACCAACGTACTTAGACATAAAAGTTCATTAGAAATTCACAAAATCCCAAATACCATTCTTAAAAAAACTCAAATACAGAGTAGTAGTAAATACATTGCAAACACAAAAGCTACATAAATAATAAGCAAGGGACATTACACAACGCTAAAGTTCATCATCCTTTCAGCTCTTGCTCTTGAAAGGAATGGCTCTGATGACAATCTGGTGATAGAGTGCTGCTAGTGCTGCTCCAATGGATGGTCCCACCCAGAAAATCCACTGCCAACACAATTACAATTTCAAATTTTCAAAATACTTATTTTCATACGATCTAGAATAAATAAAAGTGGTCCTTTTTTTATACTCACATGGTCATCCCAGGAGTGGTCCTTGTTGTAGATAATTGCGGCTCCAAGGCTTCTAGCTGGGTTGATTCCGGTCCCGGTTATAGGAATTGTCGCCAGGTGTACCAAGAACACTGCAAACCCTATTGGGAGTGGTGCCAATATCTACAATTTTTCCATTTTAATAATTAAAAATGAGCAAACAAAACACCCTTGAGAATCAGTAAACCAGATAATGTGTGGACTCTTACCGGGACGTGCGAGTCACGGGCGCTTCTCTTGGCGTCGGTGGCGGAGAAGACCGTGTAGACGAGGACAAAAGTTCCGATGATTTCAGCACCGAGGCCAGATCCCTTGGTGTAGCCTGGAGCGACGGTGTTGGCACCGCCACCGAGTGTCTGGTACGGCGTTGGCTGGAAACCCTTGACCACTCCGGCGCCACAGATGGCTCCGAGACATTGCATTATCATGTAGAAAACTGCCCTGGTCAGAGACAACTTCCTAGCCAAGAACAAACCAAACGTAACCGCAGGGTTGATGTGTCCACCTGAAACATTAAACGTACACAAACATATGTTAAAGATTCCACAAAGACCCATCAAAACTAAATTACAGAGAAACCAACACGAGAGGAGTGATTTTCCGTAGGCCACAAGTAATCGAAAAGTGGAGGAAAGATTACCTGAAATTCCAGCAGTACAGTAGACAAGAGCAAAAATCATGCCACCAAAAGCCCAAGCGATGCCTTGGATTCCAACAGAGGCACACATGTTCGGTGCTCTCTTCACTCCCATTACAGTCAGAACGGTGATGTAAAGGAAGAGGAAAGTAGCTATGAACTCGGCGATTCCTGCTCTCCAGAACGACCATGAGCTCAGCTCTCCTGGCTCGAACAGTGGCGCAGGAGGTGGCTCTTTGTAGTCCTTGTCCGACTGAGCTGATGTCCCGATCGGTTGCCTCTCAGGGAACTTGTTAGCCCCAACTCTCACATCTTCTTCTTTCCCTTCCATTTTTCTCTCTATGTTAAAGCTTTAAGCTTTTTCTAATTCTTTCTTGTTTTGTGTGGAGAAGATTGTGTGGTGGATAGAGTGTGAATTTATAGAGGAGGAAAGAATACTAAAAATGTCCTAACGTCTATAAACATTTACTCCAATAATGTTTTTTATTATTCTGTAAGACAAGACAGAAAATCAATAGTAAACCAATAGTTTTATTTTTGTCAATCAGTATAACAAATAGTTAACAACTCAATTATTGTGATCGTTTGCAATTGTTTACTTTTTATATTTTTAGAAATCATAATCCCATTCTAGTATTTTTTCAGCAAAGGAATTTTATTTTTTGGTAAAACAAAGGAATTATTTTACTGCTAGTTACCATACTTACAAATATTATTTCTTTTGTCAACGGACTAATCTCTATATTCATTTTTTTTTGTCAACTAGTCTAGTGCCGTTCGAATGATTATTTATGATGTTTTTGGGTGACCATTGAATTATGTAAATAAATAGTTTGGTAATTTGTGTTAAATAAAGTTAACAATGGAAGAGACTGGAGAGAACTCTGGAACATACCGCCGTGCTCTCTCGTAAAAAGATGTTTTTCTTTTCTTCTTGCCAGACAAAAAGATAATGGGTCCACTTCTTGGACGGTAATAAATTTGGACGACCCTGGTAAAGACCAGTAGTTAAAATGGTAAAACATGTATATTTCTTAAAAAATACACATTTGACTCCAACAAAGTCACTTATCGGACCGTTGGAGAAAAAATTGACAGCTTTATGAAAGGTCGGATTATTTGGATACTTGTATACCATAATACTAAAATAACTAAAATCATACACATCAGCTATCCCTTCTAGTGATTATTTTCATGTCAGTTTTTTTCGCCATTTTACTCAGCTTTTCAAACTGAAATTTACAAGCACAGCTTTTTTAAATTACAAATCAGGTCTCTAATGTTTTTTTTTTGAACAACAAAGACTTATATTAAAATTAAATGTCCAAAGGACAAATTCGGTTACAATCGGAGATATACTCGACGATAATTTGATAAGCTAGCACAATTAAAATATAAAAAGAGATAGAGATGGCCAAGGAGAGAAGAAACCCATAGAAAACCTTCACTTGTAATCCTATAGCACGCGTTTGAAAAAACACAAAATAGTCGAAATCGACGTTGAAGAACCCATCTAAAGGGTTTTGAGAACAGTTGATAACCGTCTTTGAAGATGTCTCTAATGTTTCTTATATACGGGGTACTATAAATTGTTGTGGACATCTGGTTATATATTATGAGTTTTGTGCAAAAAATCTCTCAATATAGTTTTAAAAAAAAATTAAACTGCGAACTCAAAAATTCACGGGTCAATCCTCTAAGTACCAGTCAAACCGCAATATAACCCTCAGCCGTATATATGTGTATTTGACTATGTATAATTTTAAAATTTATCAATACTACGTCATTTTGGCTATAATATTTAATGAAAAAAATTTGTGCGTTCGAACCTTGAACCTTATACACAATGCAACTATATATATATTTCTAAATTCATTCCGACTTTGTTTCTTATTTTTTCCTTGGACATGGAAGCTTATGTAATGAATGTGGGGGGTCGTCCTTGGATTGTTACTCAAACATTTACTTTTTTCGATTCTCTTTACTTATACAATAAAACTTCTATAAATTAATAATGTTGGGAATTTAAAAATTTATTAATTTACAAAAAATTCCTTATTTAGATTTTTTATTTTAAAATATATTTATTCTAAGATAAAAATATTTGATTTTAACATATAGACATTAATTATTATTTTAAACTTTTTTACATTTATATTAATTTTATTATATTATTTGATGTATATAATATATATTGTATAGAATTTAAATGTGTTTTAGATATAATTTTACTAAAAACTCATCAAAAATATATTAAGTGTTAAGAAAATATAAAGATAATTTCATTGTGAATATAAAATAAAAATATAATGATATATTCTTACTTATATAAATATGTATACATATCTTATTATTTGTGTTCCAAAAAAAAAAAACATTATCTTATTATTTTATCGATTTGTATCAAATTTTGAATCGGCCCAAATTGGGACCGGTGAAATTTATTAATTTATATATATTATTAATTTATAAAATATTAATTTATAGAGGTTCTACTGTAGTTATTTTCTCACATGCACGTTTTGAACAATAATCGAAATGGGATTCTTGTTTCCGGCTCATCTTCGCATCTTCTTCGAGTGTTATAGCGGCCAGAGAAAAGAAGAAAGAAATGATGCACTCCCATGACCATAGAAATGATGCACTCCCACGATGACACAGATCGATAAAATAATAAGATACTATTTTGTTTTAGAAAATACTATGTAAATATATGATCCCATTAAAATTACAAATTACTAATTTTGTATGTATACACATTTATATAAGTAAGAGCAATCATTATATTTTTTTGTTTTTAATTCACATTGAAATTATCTTTATATTTTCATAACACTTAATATATTTTTTGTCTATACATTAAAATCAATTGTTTTTTATCTTGGAATAAATATATTTTAAAATAAAAAATCTAAATAAGGAATTTTTTTGTAAATTAATAAATTTTAAAGTTTCAACATTACTAATTTATAATAAAATTAATATGAATGTAAAATTGTTTTAAATAATATTTAATGTCTATACATTAAAATCAATTGTTTTTTATCTTGGAATAAATATATTTTAAAATAAAAAATGTAAATAAGGAATTTTTTTGTAAATTAATAAATTTTTAAAGTTTCAACATTATTAATTTATAGAAGTTTTACTGTATAAGTAAAGAGAACCGAAAAAAGTAAATCTTTGAATAACAATCTAAGGATGATCCCCATATTCATTACACAAACTCCTATGTCCAAGGAAAAAATAGAAAACAAGCTCATTTCGGAATGATTTTAGAGATATATATAGTTGTGTTTGTTAAGTGTATAAATATATCCGTTAGCTGAATTGGTTATGTAGTATGCAGACTGTGTGTAAGGTTCAAAGTTCAAACTCAGAGATGTGCAAATTTTTTTTTATTAAAAAGTACAGCTAAAACGACGTAGTATTGATAAATGTTAAAATTATGCACAGTCAAATATATATATACACGGTCAAAAAATATATTGCAGTTTAACTTGCATTTGGAAAGTTGACCCTTAAATTTTTGAGTTCGCGGTTTAATTTGCAAAAAAAAAAAAATTGAGGGTTCTTTGCAGAAAATATCATACTACAATTATTGGTTGTTGCATGCAAGTAGGTAAATTATAATTTTAATTCAGCTTCCAACTTTTATGTGCTGACATGTAAAGTCTTTGTGATCACATGCTTCGTTGCCAACAACACTAGGTTTTTTTTTTTTTTTGTAAAACGACAACACTAAGTTTTTCCGATTTAGTAATTACTAATTGCTTTATTTATTTTACTGTAGGTTACAGTGTTGTGAAAAGACCAGGAAAGTTATAAAAAAAAAAGAGAAGAAAAGTTAATGAGACGTAATCGTTTTTAAAACGCAACCACAATGCATAGTACCGTCCAAACAACATATTTTTTTGACAAACATGTGTTCTGTTTATTGTGACGGTCCCGACCAAAGCGTATATATGACATGATATCTTCCCTTTATCAAATTATGATGATAATGTTAATAACAATGATAAATTTTGGTGTAATAATAACAATGAGACTAAATGTAATGTTGGAGTGGCATGGAACAAGCACAAGCAAATGGGAGGAGGATAGTGGGCAGTGAGAGATGACAAAGGTTTGGTTCTTATGCATAGTAGGCGAGCTTTCTTCAATTGCCCTAACATACAAGAAGCTCGTTTTCAGTGTTTGATGTGGTCCATTGATTTGAGAGTATGATTTTCCACAGGCTGTACACAGGTCAGGCACAGGGCACATGCAAAGGAAACAATGGCTTAGGGTCCAAAAAATTTGTAGGCATTTTAAGCTTAAATTTTTTTTTTTAAAAAAAAAAATTTACAAAGGCAAAAGGCCTATTTTTTATTGGAATAGGGCCTTTGGTGAGCTTGGGCCGGCCCTAGCTGTACATGGTTATCTTTGTGATGGAGGATGCCTTTGTGGTTGGTTTGAGTACTCGACCATCTGCTTGGTCGTCTTTCAAATTTCAAACTCATTTGCTCTGTAGGCTATCCTAGATGGAATGGTGGAGAATGGTTGGAAGATAGGCTAATGAACACATGGGCGTTTCACATCACTCAAAGTGTGACAGAGGAAAAAGAATTCAATCACAACTCAATCCCCAAGTAATTGTCTTGCTTGATTGAAATATTTCCTGTTTATTTATTTATTGTTTCTACTATTTATATATTCACCTAGATTTATACTTGACTAGATTTATTAGATTCCCTACCTCCTTGTGGATTCAATCCCTAAGTACTACAGCTGAGCCTCTTATTTGAGAGAGTAATTCACTCCTTAGGGTAATTTGAGTGATATCAGGTGCCATCGAACCGCTCCACCTCCGCTCGAGTGATCTTCTTTGCCATTGACATCGATCTTGAACAACCCGTGCTCGATCGTGAACCAACCGTGCTCTGATACCACTTGTTACGACTAACAAGGTTCAAATCGCCTTCGATTTACGCGAATCCTCTCTCTCTCTCTCTCTCTCTAGCTCTCGATGAATATAACAGAAACGTAAACAAGAACAAAGCAAACACACAAGCTGTTTATCCAGGGTATCTCTCCGATATGGAGAACTAGTCCTTGGATCCATATTCAATCTAGTAATCCACTAGAATGATTCTCAAGCTCGAAAGCTCAGAGGTTGTTACAACAGACACAACTTCAAGATGATAGAGAACAGTAATAACATCATAGCTTTGTATACCCTCTTATATACACCGAGGGTTTACAACTAAACCGAACTTTAATTAGACTCATAGAACAAACCGGGAATTGCTCCAAAGTGGAAACAATACCACAATTGTCTAATCTTCTAAGTCCATCAGAGACTATAACTCACCTCATCTGTCACCCTATAGCCTACGATTAAG